ACTTGTTTGACCAAGGTAATCCATCACAGGGAACAACGTGCTGCCTATAGTCTTATTAAGGTTACCAGAATTTGAAACTCTGATACAATACTAGTATAAAAAGACGATAGTCAATTATACCTGTCCAGCAAAATGTTTAGTGTTTACTGACCAACTACTTTAATCTGTTTCCCTAGTTATTCCTTCAAAGCAAAGAGCAATTTTACTAAACTATTAGACAGTAACATGAAGGAGTGAAAGATTACAACTAGTTTCTGGTCAGATGTGTCTCCTTGAACCAGGTCAACCCCGTCTGTGCGAGGCAGAAGGTGGTACAAATGCCACACTATCTTTTATTGCCTATAGTTACAGCAGGGGAGCCTGGCCTTGAGCAGAAGCTGGGAACACACTGAGGACGAGACAGGCAGCCTTCAAATTCACTCGTCTAATAAAATCTTTATACATCATAAAGCTTCTGTTAAACTGACTATTGGATACAGTGTCGGCTTTGGAGAGTTAGCCAATAAAGCACCATAGATTTCGGCTGACTGGGAGAATAAAAAGACCTTTCAAGCTTCGTGATAACAAAAACCGAGCAGGTGTATTACTTGGCAGAGACGTTACACTGGCAGCTTACTTTTTAAGAATGTCTTGTTTCTTCTGCTCTTCAGACGTTGGCAGGCCCATTGATTTCTGCCTTTGGTCATACATCATCTTCTCTACCATCCCACGCGTCTCTCCGTCCAGGTCTGACAGCTGCATGGCAGGAAAAACACACAGTGAGGACGGGGCAGAACGTGTGGGAGGCACAATACACCTGAAGGCTTAAACTTCATCTTTTACCTTTGAGTTCTCTGGACAGACTTTCTTGGTGTTAATTTCTGGATCTGTGGTAACAATCTTGCTCCACCACTCCATTTTATTAATCTGAAATGTAAGAACAAAGTTAGGCTCAACAGTCCAGCAGTTCTTTTCGTCACTTTGTTACTGCTGACACAGACCAACGGTTAGTATCTGTCCACAACTCTGTTTTTACCTTTTCCAAGTGGACAGTAACGACCTTGCCGTCGTCGATGAGCCAGGAGCTTTCTTCTACCTTCACCTCGTTGTAAAGCTGGCCGTCGATAACGGGAGGGTGTCCCTTGAGGCCGACCTTGATGGAGCGTCGCTGGATGTCCACCACTACATCTCTCCCCTTAATGCGGAACTTGACGTCGAAAGGCACTGTCAGCTGTAGGAGGATATTAAAATTATATTGTATATGTTATATTACATAAATGAAAGATTTGTCTAGGGTTACCCCCTTATAGTCGACCCACTTTTCATTAGTCAGATAGTTTGCGAGCTGCGCCTTGTCACTGGGACGAAAGTATCAGGTGACTGTTGCAACACGGACCTTTTCTCTTGTAACACAGGGAGTCACTTACCGCTGCACTGCTGCACATGCTAACAGTGCTAGCTGCTGCCACTAGCTAGTTAGCGGCCCTACTAACTGACTGTACCCAGACTGGGAGCTCGAAGGACAGCGGGGGTTTTAACACTACTCTTAGTAGATTTTAAATTCAGACTCCTGTGTACACTACCTGCTCCTAGCCGGTGAACATAGCGGAGCATTTAGCAGCTAAATGTTGGACGTGCATTCATCAGGTGGGCAGAAACACGACTGCATATGAATGATAATGCTGCCATCCATAACTACTGGATGTATGAATAATAAGCTACTGCTATAAAAAAAAGGCCTTCTATTAATTTAGAGGGAGATGATATGTCAATGTTGTGTTCATAGGTTATCTCTGCTGCCCCCAGTTATTTCAAGTAAGAGTGAAGTGCTTTTACAAATTAACATTAATATTAATATTAACATTACATAACGCCTTTCCCACCCAGTCAATGGTGTAAAGATATACTGACATGTTAGGTGAACATTCTCCACTATTTCTGACAAATTCAGGCAACAGTTGGAATATAAATCAATCAAAAGGGACATTAATGAGCAGACCAGTGGCACAGGTACAAGAACTCGCACATCAGGGCAGAGGTCCAGGCATGTAGAACTGGGCTGGTTGTTACAGAAAAACAGTGAGGGAAGGAAGTGAGGATCTCTCTCATGATCCAGGGTTTTTTTGGTAAATATCTGGCTGCCTGAGCCGCAAGATGATCAAGAAACACCTACTGAGAGGATTAGTAAACACAAATGGGCGTTGTAAAAGTACTTTGATGAGTCAAAAGGCACTCACGTCAACTTCAGACAGACTCTGTGTCCACTTGTAGTTTGGCAGGTCAGCTCCGTTTTCTGCATTAGGCTTCAGTTTATCTTTGTCCTTCTCATCCTCCTCTCCCTCTGAGTCAGACTGCGGAAATGGAAATTAAGATGAGTACTTCGGCAGAACCTGATTCTGCTGCTCATCAACACCAAACTGCAACCTTTTTACACCGAACCTGTTCACTCACCCCCTTCTCTTTTTCTGCTTTGTCAGATGACTTTTCTACCGTTGTTGTTGCATTAACCTTTTTCTCCTCTTCTGTCTTCTTCTAGAATATACATAACACAAAGATTAAAATAAAGTAACGTTCACGACACAACAGAGGCAGTAATTCACATTAAAGCCACACGGCTCACATGTTGCACCTTGTCAAGTTCAGACTGAAGTTTCTCTGCTTCTTCATCGGTCAGTTCCTGAATTCTGGGACCGTCATCCTTTTTGCTCTTTTTTCTCTCTTCCTCTGCTAGCTTGGCGGCTCTTTCGGCTTTCTCTTTCATCTCCTTCTCCCGTTTCACTCGCTGCTCTTTGTGGACCTTCTGTGCTAGCTTATTGTGGTGGGCAAAAGCATCACTGACGAGCTGAAAGAAAGCGATGGCAGGACATTTGGCGTAAGTGGAGGTGCAGTACATAGTGTTAAACGCCACAGAGGCTGCAGATGCAGTAAGATCTGCTCACCTTCTCTGCAGCACTTGCAGCTCCTCCATCACTGTCACCACCCGTGAAGAAATCGGTTTTTCGGCGGAGGAAGCTGAAAAATGTGTTTACTAACTGTTGAGAGAAAAACAGGCAGTCACAAATGATGACTTTTGTATTTGAGCATTGGTATGACTGGACAGTGCTCCATTTACACACACACAGCACCAGACAGACCTATACATTAACAGCTTTATAACCTTACATTCCCAGATTTACATCCCACCTTCTGTTATTTATTGTTTGATCTATCTGCAAATTATTACATTAAATTTGGTATAGCAAACTTTTTTTTATTAGCAAAGTAATGTGCGGAAGAAAAAAAGTCTGGCTCTTGTCGAAATGTCAGCCATTTCAGACCACCCACACAGGACCAGCATCTTACTGCTACACGAAATAGTTCAAATATCAAACGAATATTCACAGCCTTTAGTTAGAGGAGAACAGACCCACCAGAAAGTGAGTTTAACAGGAAATAAAATGAGATTGTATTGAGACTTGGCGCTGCTTTGTTAGTCACGTGTGCCGAGTTCAACACCCCATAGATTTAAAACTACAGCTGCTGGTCTGTCCAACAAGAGAGCCCAGTGATAACATTAGTCACAACCCTGTAAAACCGCTGACATCGTTTGCTTCCACTGCATGCTTACAGGAGAGGGGTGCTAGCTTACGAGCTAACTAACGTACATTACACAGCAGCTTTAGCATGTCAGCAGCACACTGAGTTACCTCTTGTACTCCTCCTTCGTGTTGTTGCGCCATAACGAGCAACATGCCGTCATACTTCTCTTCATCGTCACTCATGTTGGTGGTTTACAGAGAGGAGGAATTAAACGCTAGCTGTGAGGTGACAAGCGAAAAGTTGGGTTAGCGCTTAGCGACAATGTGAGGCCCGTAGTCACGCTACTCACTTCCTGGAAACAAACCCCGCCTACGCTTGTTTCGACCAATCGTAGGAATGGATTTTAAGTGACAGCCGAAATATCCAATGAAGTGAGAGATTTGGTTCAGGGCGGGACTGAGGCGCCCAGGAAGAGTGAGAATTTTCGAGAAGAAATGTATTTAATTATAATATAATTTTAAATCACGATATTATCCAATTAAAACAGAATGTATAATATTAAATATCTAAATATAAAAATGAATGTAGTTGCTTAATTCATTTTTAATTGCCCAGTTCATATCGACATTATTGTGAACATTTATAAAATTATATCAGCACAACATGTACCAATAATAACTTGAAATAAACAAAGATTTTGCTTCAGAAAAACTCATTAAGTGGAAGGTGACTAGGCTAGTGGAATAGAATTCTGAAATTACAATTGTTGTTGTTGTAGGCCACCACTAGGCTTTTATTTATTCATTCTTTCAATTTTTGACAACAGACAACTTCTCTTGCCATACAGTACAAGTACAAGTGTCACTAATAAGCATAATGATGATGACAAAGGTTTTTTTTTTAATGTGTTTATTTATTTTATTCATATGTATTTTTATGCCATCTACAATCTTATAAAACAGAAAAGCAACATAAAAACAGTTTAAGAATAAGCCAGCTACCCACCCATTTAAGACGTTAAAACTAAATGTATTTTTAACGTTATATTATTAGTGCTACCATAGACCATAGATACAGTATCATTAGAAAGTGTTACCCATAGGTGCTACTGGATGAGTTCACAGTCCACAGCTCTAGCCCAGATTACATATCTGAGGGGCCCTACACGAAATGATTGCACCTTAATTAAGATAACTATTTAGTATTTCCAATACACTTTGTTGCCTGTATCTCAATTTGTTCTCATGACAGAAAATCTATAATTATAACATGGGAGTTAAATGACCCAAAAATCAAGTAAAATAAATTATTGGGTCCTTTCATATAGGTCCACGGTGTATCTGGGGCACAGGACAGGTGCCAGCCTGTGCCTTGACCCCACCAGTCCTTGATAGACCGGTACAGGCTGACTTAATGACTGAGGCAAACATGATAAATGTCATTCACCCCACAAGCTTCTGTAGTTCCCTCTGCTGAGCCTTATCGCCACCACGTGGAGGGAATCTAGATCCTTCTGTAGTGCATGGGAAGTCCACAGTCCCTTTTTTTTTCAAGCGCAAGGGCTTAAAAAGGGAGGGTCAAAGCTGACCTTGTCATGAGCAGGTGACATCCTGGATAAATAGAGCCTGAGCTTATGAAGTTGTTACACTGTTCATGCTGCTTTTAGCTGCTAACTGACCTGTTTTCTTTCCATTTTAGGGGCATTCTGCACATAGTTCTTCCTTCAGGATGTTTCCTCTGGAGGAGATCACAAACAACACATGCTCTTCTTACCGGGATCAGCATCCTCACACTATCCTTTACAACATCTTGAGCGGGAGGGACAGCGGATACTTCAACAACAAATTGAACCACAGCGCCACGGCCCACAACTGCCACTGTGAGCGGAGGAGGACAGTTTGCCTTAAGGACCCAAAGGTGACATGCCAGGTTGCCTCCAGTGTGCTCGTCAAAACCATCTGCTTTGTGAGGAGTTTACCATCCTTCAGTCAGCTTCCGTCAGGAGATCAGTCGTCACTCTTAAGACACTGCTGGGTTCCTTTATTTGTTCTGGGGCTTGCCCAGGAAAAGATAGTCGTTGAAGTGACGGATGTACCAAATTTAAGCATCCTTAGACAGATTCTGCTCGGACCAGGACGCGCTGAAAAGGACACTGACCGACCAACTCTTGCAGGAGTCCACGAACTGAGAGCTGGCTTGCATCAGCTGTGGAATCTGGATCTCAGCCCAAAGGAATACGCCTACCTGAAGGGCGCTTTGTTGTTTAACCCAGGTAAAACACCTTTTTATTGGTTGTGTTTCAACACCTTATCAGTTTGCTGGATACGAGCCTTAACACATACTTCTCTTTATCGCTTGCAGCTGTTGAAGGGTTGAGCGCCTTGCTGTTCATTGAAGGCCTTCAACAAGAAGCTCAGAGAGCTCTCCAAGAAGTCATCCACCTCCTGCACCCGAATGACGACGTTCGCTTCAGCCAAGTCCTTCTGGCAGCCTCCGCCATTCAGACTGTCAGTCACAGCCTGGTCACAGAGCTCTTCTTCAAGCCAGTTATCGGCAACACAAATATGTTACATTTATTAACAGAGATGTTGTTTGTGCAATGAGACCCCGGTGAGAAAGCCTTGTATGAGTGAGTGTTTTTTTATACAGTGAACCTAGTTTAAGAAACGCTTGAAATAAATCCTTTGATACCTTCTTCAGCTTGATGAAGTTATGCTTTTCAGAATTTCATGACTTCTGTGAAATCATAAAAAACAACTACACTTTGATCAGATTACTTTAATGGGTGGGGATGGGGTGTTTAAAAGTGGCAAAACAAAACAGCATGGTCTGATCCTAAAAAAGAAGGCTTTGACTCCCTCATGTGGCCCATGTGGAAAGCACAAGCAAACAACCATTCCTCCTTTTGTTTCACTTCATTTACGTT